TTAATCTCCTCCTCTGCATCCCCAAACCCTCTGTCCCAGACCAGCTTGTCTTACTTTCTGACTGGATTATTGCAACAGCCTCTTCCCAGGCCTCTTTGCCTCTAGCTTCTTGGCTCTATTCCATTCACCACTCTTCACCTTTATCTTTCTATATCCCGACATTGATCATGTATCCCATCTACTTGACTATGCGCTATGCAAGAGAAGAGATTGAGTCATCTTGTTAATTGCCTAATTTCCTTTGCCAAGCACCATGTTTTTCATAAAGGAGATGCTTAATAAATGTTCGACAGATGATTCAATGAATAAATAAATATCATGGGCCAGTCACTATGCTCATCACTGTAGGATGGTCCTCTCATGTGCTCCCACAGTCGACAATGTTTGCCCCATCAAAGAACTTATGCTATAGTTTGTAATTGTTTGTTTATGAGACTGAGAATTCTGTGAGGACAAGGACCACATCTGTCAGGTCTACCTTCCCAGACATACATTATGCTCAGCACCCTGCACGGTGTTGAATGAATGCATAAATCAGTGTTCCACTGGAAATATATTTTACCTCGATTTCTAACTGTACATTCAGCAGTTACTGATAGGACACCTACTATGTGCAAGGCCATAGTCTAGGCATTAGAAATTTTTCAGTGAACAAGACAGACAAAAGCCTCTGCTTTGATGGAGTTTATATTTTAGTGAGGAAGACAGTCAATAAATCAATGGACACATATTTATATAAGAAAATGTCAAGTAGTGATAAGAGCTATGAAGAAAAATGATGTAGGGCAAAGGGGTAGAGAATGGTGGAGAGGATTCCTATTTTAGCTTGGGACTTCAGGGAGGATCTCTCTGAGGAGAGAACATATAAAAGACCTGAATGAGGTGAGTGATGAGGCATTCCAAGCAGAGAGGACAAGAGTGCCAATGCCCTGATGCAGGAATGTGTTTGGCAAGTTTCAGGAATAGTAAGGAGGCCAGTGTGCCTAATGTACAGTGAGCAAGGAGATGGGCAGACGAGATCAGAGAGCTAGGCAGAGGCCAGATCATGTAGGGCTGTGGAAGTCATAATACAGTCAAGAGACTGCTCTAAGTAAAATTAAAAGCCAACAAAAGAATTCAATGCAGGCAATCAACAACAATTTATGTATTTGTTATTAAATAGTAGATCTGTGAACCCTGGTGAGGAAAATCCTGGAGGCAAGAGGAGACAACCCAGTTAGAAAGCTAGTGCAATAGACCAGGTGACGCATGATGATAGCTTGTCCAAGTGGTTGGATCAGGATATGTTTTGAATACAGAGCCAACATGTCTGGATAGTTTGGATGTATGGTAGGAGAGAACCAGAAGATTCAGGGATGATCCTGAAGATTTAATCCAGTTCAAGTCCCATTCTTCATGGTTCGGTTCAAAGCCACCTCCTCTGGGAAGGCTTCCCTGACATTCCTTACCTTCCTACCATGGAAATCAATGTCTCTCCCTAGATACTCATGTCACTTTGCAGCTCTATAATGTTAATAACAGCATTCCATCTTCCGGCAGAGCTGAGATACCTGTTCACATCTACCACTCCCACTCGACTTAGACCTCCTCAGGGACCCTGTCATGATCATCTTTGTAGTCTTTACCAGACCCTGTAGAATGACTTATGCAGAACAGTTGACCAATAAATACTGGTGAGATTGGATAGATTAACTAAATTGAAGCTGTTTATTATTGCTTCCAGTGTATGGTTGCAAAACTCTCTAATCGTAGAATGTAAGCAGAAGAATTATTTCAACATCACCAGCTTTTAATTACTAAAGTCCATTTGATGGATGTCTCTGCTTGAATTATTGACATCATGAGGATTAAAATGTGGTCCCTTGATTAAAAAGAAGTTCATGTGTTGAGTGAGGGGCGTGGAGACCGCCAGAGGGTGGGATATTTAATGAATCCTTTTCTCTCAGCTCGTGTTCAGCTAGTGAAGCTGTCAGGGAAAGTGAAAACTATCTAGAGGAGGATCAGGCTGATATTTATAAAAACGGCAGAAGTGAGAGGAGGCAGAGAATTTGAAGCCTAAAAGTTGGAGCACATGCACCTGGATTGAAATTTTAGCTCTCTCATTGACTACTTACGGCTCTCTGAGAAAGTGTTAAAAAAGTTGTTTCATTTGCTTTTAACTGAGATACAACTTGTATACAAAAATACGTAAATCTTAATTGTACAACCTAATGGATTTTTAGAGATGTATACACCCATGTACCCATCTCCTATAAAAATGTAGAACATTTCCAGCACCTCAGCAGGCTCCCATATGCTCCTTCTAGTTAGTATCCCCTGCAGAGGTAGCTATTATGATAACTTCTATTACCATGTAGCCATTTTGTCTATTTTTAATCTTCATATAAACAAAATTATACAGAATGTGCTCTAGTGTCTGGCTTCTTTCTGAGAAAATCATTTAAACTCTTTAGGCCTCAGTTTCCTCAGTCTTTATAACAGAAATACTAGTAGTAGCAGTTATATCAAAGAGGTGTGAAGATTTCATGAGATAAAACATATAAAATGCTTAGGATAGTGTGTGCTGAATAAATATTAGTCCTTTCCTTCCTTCCCTTCCTTGTAAGTTCCCACAGCTATGATAAGCACTATTGGGCTACAAGAGAAGTATAAAAGGCAGTTAATACCCTTAAGGAACTTACAAAATAGTTAGACGCAAGGATGTAAAGTGCTTGGTAAGCATAAAGGACAATATTAATATATTCTTAATATAATGAATATAATGATGTCAATTACTAATCCCACTGCTGAGTGAAGAGAAGGCAGGTGATACAGTGAAATGATCAAAAGATTTCAGGTTTTGAAATCTTTGGACTTGGGTTCTAGCACCAGTTTCCCCAATTACCAGCTGTGTAACTTTGGGGATGTCACATAATGTTGCTAAGCCTTAGTTTCTTTATATTTAAAATGGGAATAGCACTATTTTATCTACCTCATGGGATTGCTGACAACATTGAGTGCAACATGTTAAGCGCCTGGTACAGGACCTGAAATATAGTATACATTTAAACAATGGTATTTGCTGAGAGGTTTTTTTTTCTGCTTTGGGATACCAGGATTCATAAAGATCCAGAGCTTTCACCCTACCAGGGTTAGCTAAGTGGCTTGCAAGGCCTCATCTACTGCAGTTGAATAAGGTGACTGCTGAAGTTCAAAGGGCCACTTCTTCATTTACCCCTCTACACTTCTCCAGTAGACACTTGTGACAGTACCAGGGACCACTGAGCTAAGGACTCTTCCTTTGCCTTGGGGAGCCCCCAGACTTGCTCCTTTCTTGTTCATAAGGCTAAATATCTAATGATCTAGGCCTCTAGCTGGGACCCTTTGCAGCCCTCAGGCAGGAGCCATGGTTGGTTGGTCCCAGTGCAGCAATAGGGGGACTCATTGTGATGGGGGAGTAAATAAACTTTAAAAAATAAAGACAATGTTTTAGGGCAGTTTGAAGTTCACAGAAAAATTGACAGGAAGGTTCAGAGATCTTCCATATACCGTCTGCTCCCACACATGCACAGCCTCCCCTGTTATCAACATTTCCTCACCAAAGTGGTACATTTCCTACAATTGGTGAATCGCTACATTGACATATCATTATCCAAAGTCCACAGTTTATGCTAGGGTTCACTCATGGTGTCATACATTCTATGGCTTTGGGCACATGTATGATGACATGTAGTCAACATTATAGTGTCATACAGAGTAGTTTCACTACCCTCAAAATCTTCTGCACTCTACTTATTCATCCCACCTTCCCCTCAGTCCCTAGCAACCATTGATTCTTTTACTATTTCCATAGTTTTGCCTGAGGAATGCAATTTTCATAGCCATTTTGAAGCCAATATTTGAAAATCAAAATTCTTTAAGCACTGTTAAGCATCACAGTGTTTTGCGAAAATATTTTCAGAATGGTTATATGCAGTCTGCTTCCTACTGCTCAAAAGATTTTTTAGAAAAAAACTTAAAAATCAACATGTCTTAAAAATATTTTTCAAACCAAAACAAATGTCTCAAAAGCTATTTGCAGATACGATGATTAGTAAGATGATTCAGCCCTGAGGAATATTTTCTCTAGTGTTATTCTGATGCTTACACTTTGAGGATTTGATTTAGTCAGATTATTTTCTCAAAACTATGTTTATTTTCTATCTATCCTGAAACTCAGCTAACAGACCAAAGAAATTCAAACCTTAAAGCTACAACACAAAACATTTATCGAATAAACGAATCATTTTTTCCTTTTTTTCTTGGCTGCCAGGAAACTCAGAGTTATGTTAGGTAGAGGAAACTGTTTCACCCTTGGTTCTCCCTTTCTCCACATGATTTTCCTATCATTCCTTTGATCTTTATTTATCTGCCCTATTTCTCTGAATTTTTATGTTAATCTGTTTCAAATCCATTTTGGATGTAGATGGAACTACATCTACGGATGAATCTATGGAAAGATGCCCAGTTGCAGTAGTACTCATATAAATGCAAATTTTAAAATCCACAAAATATTGCTTAACACGCATTTGAATGGCAAAGTTATAAAGCCAGATAATATTATGAGCTGATGATGATATGATAAATCATATATTAAGTTCTGTTTGTTGGAGCGTGAAGTGGTAGAGCCACTCAGGAGAGCAATCTGAAGGTGTTTAATGAAATTAAATATGCATAAACTCTATGAATGAGTTTATAATTCTGTAACAGAACCATTAAGGGACATGTGCAAGGATGTTTATAAAATCATTGTTTGTGATAGCACTGAAAGCAATCTAGATTTCTATCACTAAAAGACTGAATAAGTAAAATGTGACATATGCACATGCTAAGGATACTATGTAAAGTCAGAACTCTAGTAAAGATACACATCTTAGCCCTAGCTACCATAATAAAATGCCATAGACTGGGTGGCTTAAATAACAGAAATTAATTTTCTCACAGTTCTGGGGGCTAGAAGTCCAAGATCAGAGTGCTAGCACGGTTGAGTTCCAATGAGGGCTCTCTTCCCAGCTTGCAGATGATTGCTTTCTCACTGTATCCACACATGGCGCAGAGAGAGAGAGAGAGAGAGAGAGAGAGAGAGAGAGAGAGAGAACTAGTTCTCTGATATTGCTTCTAGGGAGAGAGAGTTAGTTCTCTGATATCACTTCTTATAAGTGTACTAATCCCATCATGAGGGCTCTGTAATCATTACCTCATCTAACCCTCCCAAGATCCCGTTCTAACTACCAACACATTGGGAGTTATGGCTTCAACATATGAGTTCTGGGGGGACACATACTTTCATTCCATAACATTTTGCCCCTAGCCCCCCAAAATTCATGTCTTTCTCACATGCAAAATATATGCAGTCCATCTCAACAGACCCAAAAGTCTTAACTCAGTCCAACAACAACTCTAAAGTCTTAAGTGCAAAGTATCATCTAAATATCATCTAAATCGTGTATGGGTGAGACTCAAGGTACAATTTGTCCTGAGGCTAAATTTCTCTCTAGCTGTGAACCTGTGAAACCAGACAAGTTATGACTGAACTTGCTTTGTGTTTTTTTCACTGAGATTCTGGAAAGGAGATCCTTGGAGGATCGTGTATGAGTGAGACTCAAGGTACAATTTGTCCTGAGGCTAAATTTCTCTCTAGCTGTGAACCTGTGAAACCAGACAAGTTATGACTGAACTTGCTTTGTGTTTTTTTCACTGAGATTCTGGAAAGGAGATCCTTGGAGGAGCAGGGGAGAAATTGGGGATATTTTGCCTAGGGTTGAGAGATGTCTTGGCTGTCTTTAGATGTCAGAGGATTTGTCATTTGCAGAGACAGAACTGTGCCTTATAGCTCCAGAGAAAATCCCTAGGCTGTAGAAATAAGTCTTCAAAGAGATAACATTACTTAATGGGTAAAACAAATCAAAAGCACAGTAATATTAATAGCTGCTGCTTCCATTTACTGATCACTTACTAGGTGCCAGGCTCTGGGTTGAGCATTTTAAATTCATTATCTTAATTTGTTCTCTCAGAGATGCAATGAACTAAGTGTTCAAACTACCCCTTCAGAAAACTGGCATAGGAAAAAAAACCAAAATTGACTATATAGAAACTTTGTTCCTAGAATTTAATCAAATTAAAATGAATCTTTTCAGTAGTAGAACTGTTTTTTCCACTAGATTTCAGGGCATGAAATTCCATTAAGACATAGAGCATTGGCCGGGCGCGGTGGCTCAAGCCTGTAATCCCAGCACTTTGGGAGGCCGAGACGGGCGGATCACGAGGTCAGGAGATCGAGACCATCCTGGCTAACCCGGTGAAACCCCGTCTCTACTAAAAAATACAAAAAACTAGCTGGGCGAGGCGGCGGGCGCCTGTAGTCCCAGCTACTCGGGAGGCTGAGGCAGGAGAATGACGTAAAACCCAGGAGGCAGAGCTTGCAGTGAGCTGAGATCTGGCCACTGCACTCCAGCCTGGGCGACAGAGTGAGACTCCGTCTCAAAAAAAAAAAAAAAAAAAAAAAAAGACATAGAGCATCATACTATACCTGTATCTACCACCCATGTGATGATCATTTCCTGAACTCTGAGGACCAGCTCACAGACTTCCTTGACACTCCAAGTTCTGTCCTCATCCTGGGTGTCCTCAACAATATACACATGGAAGTCCCACCCCAAACACCCTGGCCTCATATCTCTCTGACCTTTAACTTCTGAGCGCCTCAACCACTCCCATTCACTTGGCATCACTGGGCGTGGCTTCAACTCCAATATCCCACTGAGGCCCAAATCTCCTAATGAAGGCTGAGTCCATGCCATTTGCTCTTTGGCTTCACTGAGGGGTCCAGCGCTCAAGACCTTCCTTTTCTCTTCACTTTTTTCCTTGTCCAGCCTAGATCTTGGAGCATATTGATTTAGTATTGACTGCCTCTTCGTCCCCTTGCCCTCCAATGACCACATCTGCACTGTTTAGCCTCGGTTTTGAGTCTCTCCAAACCAGTGACTTCTCTGATGTCATAATGGCCACTGTGGGAGAAAGGAGCAGCACCCCAAGTATTGTTGCCTCTAACAGAATTTCCAACCTCAGTTGGTCCTGCTGGCCACCCTGCAATCCTTTCACGTGCCTCAGGTCACCTCTTTCTCCAATTTTCCTCCTATCTGTACTCCAGGTTTTTTCATCACTCCTCTCAAACAACAGCCCCTTTCACTCTACTGTCACCACACCCCATACAATGGCTCAGACTCCTACTTCATAAAGGAGATCGAGGCTAACTTCAGCTCCTTGCCCCCATACCTACAAAGGTCTCTTTGGCTTCACTAGCTCTCACTTCACATTTCTCTTTTACTTTCAGAAGAACTGGCCCTCATCCTCTAGTTTCTTCACCTTTGCTCTGTACACCCTCCTCTAATTTTCCTTCTCCTATCTCCCCTAGAACCTTGCTTACACTATTATCCATTCTCTTTCCTGACTCTTTATTCCCTCTCTCCCTACCAGTTTCCTAACCTCAGGTTATTCATATGCTCAACTGTCCCTCTTCTTTAGAAATCTTTTCTTGGCACCACTGCCCCCTTCATCTACTATTAAAGCTCCTCTCATCTTTTAAGCCTAAAAAAACAGTAGTCTATACCCAATCTCAGCTTTATCACTTCCTATTCTTTTTTCAATTCAGTGTAATCAATCATACCACTCCACTGTGCTACATTTACCATGATTGCTCTTTAGTCTTGCTCTTACTTTTTATTACAGTTGTATTGAAGCATATAATAAATTGCACATATTTAAAATATATATTTTGATGAGTTTTGACACATGTATACACCCATGAAACTATCACCTCAATCAAGATAATGAACATATCTATCACCAACAAAAGTTTCGAGATACCCTTTGGTAAACCAAACAGCCCACACACAGTCCCTAAGCAGCCATTGATCTGCTTTTATCAACACAGGTTAATTTGCATTTTTTAGAATTTTATATAAATGGATTCAGACAGGATGTACTCTCTTTTGTCTGGCTTATTTCACTCAAAATAATTATTTTGAGACTCATCCATGTTGTGCATGCATCAACAGTTTGCTCTTTTAAATTGCTGAGTAGCATCCCACTGTACAAATATGCCACAATTAATTTATCCATTCTCCTGTTGATGAACATTTGGGTTGTTTACAGTTTGGGGCTGTTTTTAATAAAGCTGCAATGAGCATTTGTGGGTTAGTATATATGCTTTCATTTCTCTTGGGTAAATAGCTAGGAGAAGAATGAGTGGGTTGTAAGGTAGGTATATGTTTAACTTTTTAAGAAACTGCCAGATTGTTTTCCAAAGTGAACATACCATTTCATATTCCCATGAGGAATGAATGAAAATTGCAGTTGTTCTACATCCTCACCAACATTGGTATGGTCAGTCTTTTCATTTCAGACGTCCTAATGGATGTGTAATGATATCTCACTGTGGTTTTCATTCACATTTCTTTAATGACTAATGGTGTTGAACATCTTTTCATGTGTATATTTGCCATTTGTATTTCTTCTTTTGCGAAGTGTCCATTCTAATCTATTGCCTATTTTTAGTGTATTGCCTATCTTCTTATTACTGAGTTATAAAAGTTCTTTACATATTCTAGACACAATTCCTTTATTGGATATGTGATTTGTAAATGCTGTCTCCCACCTGTGACTTACCTTTTTATTTTACTAATAGTGCTTTTTAGGAAACAATAGTTTCTAATTTTGATGAAGTCCAATTATCAATTTTGCTTAAGTTCTCATGCTTACTGTATTCTATTTAGAAAATATTTGCCAGATGTAAAGTCACTTAGAGTTTCTATTAAGTGTTGTGCTGGAAGTTTTATAGTTTTAGCCCTTACTTTTAAGTCTTTGATCCATTTTGAGTTAAATTTTGTACATAGCATGAGATAAGGGCTGAGGCCCTATTTTTTTGTATGTGATAATTCCATTGTTTCAGCATTGTTTGTTGAAAAAGATTTCCCCATTAAATTGCCTTGCCATCTTTGTGAAAAATTAAATGACCTTATATGTGTAGGTCTATTTTGGACTCTCTATTCTGTTCTATTGATATATAAGTTTGTTTTTACACCAATACTATACTGTCTTGATTATTATACCTTTACTATAAATCTTAAAACCAGACAGTTATTTGTTTTTTGTGAAAGTTGTTTTTGACACATCTAGATCCTTTGAATTCCTATGTAAATTTTAGAATCAACTTGTCAATATCTATAAAGAAGCCTCCTGGGATTTTGAATGAGATTATGATGAATCTCTAGATCAATTTGGAGAGAACTGAAATCTTACCATTATTGAGCTTTCTGATCCATAAACATATCTTTCCACTTATTTGGGTCTTTGAAAATTTCTTTCAGCAATATTATGTACATGTTTTCCATGTTGTTTGTCAAATTTATTCCTAAGTATTTTATATTATTTGATGGTATTGAAAATAATATTTAAAAATTTTCAATTTTCTTTTGTTTGTTGCTAGGGTAAAAAAAAATTGATTTTTTATATTGACCTTGTATCCTGCAACCTTGCTAAACTCACTTATTACTTTTAGTAGCTTTTTTGTAGATCCCTTTCGATTTTCTACAGGAGATGATCCTGTAGTCTGGGAATAAAATATCTTTGTTCCAAATACATATGTCTTTTATGTATTTTCACACCTTATTGTATTCAGTATGGTCTCCAGTAAAATGTTGAACAGAAGTGGTGAAAGTAGACACCCTTACCTTACTCCTGATCTTTGGGCAAAAACATTCAGTCTTTCAGCATTCAGTGTGATATTAGCAGTAGGCTTTCCATTTAGCAGTTTGAAGATGCTCTCTTCTATGGCAGGTTTGCATAGAAGTTTCTATCTTTAACACCAGGAGTGGACATTGAATATTGTAGAATGTGTTTTTGCTACATTACTAAGATAATTATATGGATCTTCTTTGTTAATATGGTGAATTATTACATATTGACATTTTCAAATATTAATCCAACTTTGCAATCCTTGAATAAATTTCACTTAACTATGATGTAGTATCTTCT